TATTCTAGATACAAACATGTATATTCTAGATACAAACATGTTTATTCTAGATACAAACATGTACACTATATATATATATAAATAAACAAAATATAATATATTGACTTGTTGGTGTTTCATCTATTTACTGGTTCATCAAGCAATGATATCTGATAAACCAGTAAATGGGAAAAGCACTAGCAACTCAGACTTATAATAGGATTTAATATGATACATTATGGACGCAGGCTACAAGCCTATATATCCATATCAGTACATACAACAAAATTTACATTAAATGTACTTCAATTGTGTCAATTGAAAAGTTTTTAAAACTAAAAATTAAAAGTTATATTTTCACGTTTACAGAACTCATGTTAACCAATTTCAAACTGTATAACATTAGATGAATCAATGACATCCTGTGGAAGACTGTTCCATATATCAACAACACGGAAAGTAAAGAATTTTTTCCTTATATCAAGGTGACAGTGTTTTTTAAAAAGTTTGAAAAATTAGTTTAAATACTTTCATTTTATAATTCCACAGAGACTATTCGTATATGTCATTAAAAATTCTTCACTACAGGTAAGATTCTGTGGAAGTTATCTAAGTCACTGAGTAAAAAGATGTACATTTTCAATTGAATTCCAGCAATATAGTCATGGCTGGTCGTTTTACAACAATTAGACCAACCACAACCATTGGACTAAACTGAACTGAACACTAATGCTAACTGATATACGTTATCTGTATATAAATGTAAACAGTCATGAAGTTTTCGAAACTTGATTGCTGTTATACGATTACGATTCAAATTGCAGGTCATTATAAATCCTCAAATACCTACTACAAAGTCTCGCAAAATGCTAAAAATTATCCAAAAAAGTTTGCAGTGATTGACACAAAATATATTGTGAAACCTTGTAACTTGATCATTTGTCCAGCAAGTCTTGGTGTTATAAAGGGGTTTGGCGATACTTTGAGGGAGATGTTAAACAATTTGTATTGAAAATAGGAAACATTTATATGTGTTGGCGGTAAGCAAGGATGCAAACATGAAAAAGAAAGGAATTTTAACCTGTAGATCACATTTTCTATGCAAGGAATTTAATAGAAATGAAAAAGAAAGGAATTTTAACCTGAAGCTCACATACTCTATACAAGGAATTTAATAGAAATGAAAAAGAAAGGAATTTTAACCTGTAGATCACACTCTATACAAGGAATTAAATAGAATTGAAAAAGAAAAGAATTTTAACCTGAAGCTCACATACTCTATACAAGGAATTTAATAGAAATGAAAAAGAAAGGAATTTTAACCTGTAGCTCACATACCCTATACAAGGAATTTAATAGAAATGAAAAAGAAAGGAATTTTAACCTGAAGCTCACATACTCTGGACAAGGAATTAAATAGAATTGAAAAAGAAAAGAATTTTAACCTGAAGCTCACATACTCTGTACAAGGAATTTCATAGAACACATTTTCTATACAAGGATCTACATACATAATAGAAAATAGAAATGAAAAAAGGAAGAATTTTAACCTGTTGCTCTCATACTCTATACAAACATTCAGCCAAATGAGACGTTTGGTCACTGGCAATCAACTTTTCAAAAAGTAGCGAGTCCTGATCTGTTACACAAGATCCATGTAGTAACACACACACGAGGAGGAGGAGAACAACAGTGTTGTTTGGTACACAGACAGTTGAGTTGGGGATTCATGCTTATCTTGTGGGACTTGCCAAAAGTTTGAAAACCTCATATATCTGTTAGCTATGGGACTGACCATCATTTTCTGGATTCTCCTAAAAGTCTTCCAAAGATCACTGGATAAGGAAATTCGGGTGGTACATTTTTAGACTGAGATTCCTTTAGTGTTAACTACATGATGCACAAGAAAGGTATGTCAGTTTCTTTATTAAAATTATCAAAATCTTATTTTGATGTTTGTTTCAGAGAATGGGAGAAGGAACTGAAGAAGCAGGAGAGTGGAGGAAAGGCCAGCCTGCTGAAGGCTCTCGTTCGTATGTTTGGTTTCCAGTATATGCTCCTGGGGATCATCGTGTTTATAGAGGTTTGTATGCCCTCCCACCTACCATTAAGTGAGTGATAACATGCGTGTAAACTTCCGTCCGTCCACTTGTATTGAAATCTGCAAAGTCCAAATGAAATGACAATATCCTACATATTCAATGACACTGAAAACTTTTTTTTAACTCATTCACCCCTGAAGACACAATTGAACTCTTCCAATTCAGAGGTTGGATTAGTTCATCATGAAATTTCAGGGGTAAATGAGTTAATCAATAGAAAAGTATACAATCAAAATTTTCACTCACTTACATCAGGAAGTCCCCTTGCAAAATTTTGTTTCTTTTTATGATCATGTAGTCATGAATGAACAAATTCTGAACAAATGAAACCAAGAGCATATGATCACAGTAAAAGTCAAATGATCAATGATGTATTTGTATATACTGTAAATGTACAAATTTTAGCGGTAGTCCTGTTTTAGTATTTCAAGTGCTTAAATATTTCGCTAAATTATGATTGGGCGAATTGAAGTTGTGTATTGCTTTCTTTTACATTTTTTGTGGTACATCAATGTGCTAATCTGTTATAATTCAATAATGTGCTATGATCTGAATGCACTAAAATAAGTACACTTTCAGTATAGGAATTTAAGGATATCTTTTGGACTTCTACTTGCTTCGTATCAATGTAATGGATTTTTTCTGAGAGGCCAAAATATGTACTTGCAGAAATTTGTCTGTGAGGGATAACTTTACAGTATATTCTAAAATCAACATACTTTTTGCCAATATTAATGTGTTAGATTCGAACCATGCTGATTTTTTTTTTCACGATGGACACATGTATTGTAAACTTGTATTTGTAATAAGTTCAAAACCAGTTTCAGATATAAATTGAATTGACCAGTTATGTTTTAATTTCTTCAAAATAAATTTAACAATTTACAGTTATGTCAATACCAAAACATCTTGTTTTTAGGAAGGAACGAAGGTAGTGCAGCCGTTATTACTTGGGCAGTTGATACGATATTTCACGCCTGATTCCACCGTCAGTGAGAGGGATGCCTACCTCTATGCCATGGGGGTCAGTCTGTGTGCTATTGTGCTGGCCGTGGCCCATCATCCTTATTTCTTTGGGGTACAAAGGATTGGAATGCAGATGAGAGTTGCGTGTTGTTCCCTTTTATACAGAAAGGTAAAATTTTTGAATTTATTGTTAACTTCTTCACATGTGCAGATGATCACGAGGGTGTGCCGTGAAATGTACAATGCAAGCTTGTCTTCTCATTTTCTGGTTTGCATGTGTTGGTTTAATGTAAAACATCCATCACTCCTCAACCCAACGGTTAGAATTTGATGTTTACCAGTATTACAAAGCGTTGCTGACTGCTAAACTTCGAAAAATCTGATCCCGAGGGTTGAGATTACTCTATATACTTACATCCTGGTCCAGAGGGTTGAAATAACTCTATATACTTACATCCTGGTCCCGAGGGTTGAGATTACTCTATATACTTACATCCTGATCCCGAGGGTTGAGATTACTCTATGTACTTACATCCTGATCCTGAGGGTTAAGATTACTCTATGTACTTACATCCTGATCCCGAGGGTTGAGATTACTCTATATACTTACATCCTGATCCCGCGGGTTGAGATTACTCTATATACTTACATCCTGGTCCCGAGGGTTGAGATTACTCTATATACTTAAATCCTGATCCCGAGGGTTGAGATTACTCTATATACTTACATCCTTATCCCGAGGGTTGAGATTACTCTATATACTTACATCCTGGTCCCGAAGGTTGAGATTACTTTATATGCTTACATCCTGGTCCCAAGGGTTGAGATTACTCTATGTACTTACATCCTGATCCTGAGGGTTGAGATTACCCTATATACTTACATCTGATCCCGAGGGTTGAGATTACCCTATATACTTACATCCTGATCCTGAGGGTTGAGATTACTCTATATACTTACATCCTGATCCCGAGGGTTGAGATAACTCTATATACTTACATCATGATCCCAAGGGTTGAGATTACTCTATATACTCACATCCTGATCCTGAGGGTTGAGATTACTCTATATACTTACATCCTGATCCAGTGGGTTAAGATTACTCTATATATATACTTACATTCTGATCCCGAGGGTTGAGATTACTCTATATACTTACATCCTGGTCCCTAGGGTTGAGATTACTCTATATACTTACATCCTGGTACCGAGGGTTGAGATTACTCTATATACTTACATCCTGGTCCCGAGGGTTGAGATTCCTCTATATACTTACATCCTGATCCAGTGGGTTAAGATTACTCTATATATATACTTACATTCTGATCCCGAGGGTTGAGATTACTCTATATACTTACATCCTGATCCCGAGGGTTGAGATTACTCTATATACTTACACAGCATTTTTCCCCAACACTTTCTTACCATGTAAATAACTTGTAATGATCAACCCATAATGTACAATGCTGTCATTAGTGGTGCAACAAATATGCGACATAACTGACCCTGGGTACACTGCATAAGTTTATATTGCATTTTCGAAATGATATTGTTTCTGAGTAATGTCTTTCCCTGGGTAGGTAAACACAGGCTTTTCTCCCACCTCAGACAGAGATCTCCCACGATGTACCCCATGCTAGATTGTTCTATCTCGTCCAATCTGTATGGTGCCTTTACGTGATATTTCGCCGAATTTTTACACTGCGATGTATTCATCCAAACATTAACGGCTTGAAATTATCAATCTGCATTGTAAATATTTTGTTTTGTCGTTATATGTATTGTTTTGATGTTGTTGGATATCTTATGTTATAGTTGAAATATAATCTACACTTTGAAATGCGTTGTCTTCTTTATAAAGACAGACTATGTTTTTATGTGGAAGCATTCAAATGTAGCTTGATACCCCAGTCGTGATACTTGTAGTCTTTAGCAAAGTTAAATAGTTACACCTGGGTTGGGATGTTACAGAATCTTAGCCCTCGACTGAGATAACACGATCTCGCTCAGTTACAGGTAATAGATTTTATTAATTTTTTCTCTTGCGTAAATGGGAAGACACTTGTTGGTATGGGAAAATGTGTTGTCTCAGACTTGGTACAGAGATTTCAGCAAAATTTAATTACGTCAAAAGCAGAAAATATTTTCTCCCGGTCTGTTAATCAACAAGTTCTAAAATGATAAATTTGAATGGTTGAGACACCTGCTAAACAAGCTGAATGGTTGCAGTCACCTGCTAAACAAGCTGAATGGTCGCAGACACCTGCTAAACAAGCTGAATGGTTGAGACACCTGCTAAACAAGCTGGATGGTTTGAATTACTGTAAATGATTTTGTTAAATTCTGTGATTTAAAACACAATTTTATATTACAGTCGCTGCGGTTAAGTAACACAGCCTTGGGTCAAACAACAACTGGTCAAATTGTCAATCTAATGTCAAACGATGTCAACAGATTTGATACAGTAAGTATATAATAACCAGCATGAATCACTTGAGTCTATATATGTTTTGTTAGATCAATTTGACTACCAGCCCAGTTCAGTTCTGTTCTTGGGTGTGATTTGAAGCCTAAGAAAGAAACTAATGAAAGCTTAACTGTTTTAATTAAGAAAGTTTTTGATGAGTTTCCAATGGTAAGTCTCGGTCATTTATTGAATGGGATGCTACATTTATCGAGTTTGTGTTAAAACCCTGATGAAATACTTTCTGACTGGTCATTGGGTCGGTAGTATCTAATTATAAGCTTTGAACATGTTTATTTGGCTACTTGTAAGAAGTTTGAAATCACCAACTCACTGTGTGTCTTATCATTAAATATTTAATGTTTTTAACAACAGTTTGGTTTGAAATAAATCTAATAACCCTGAAATAATTGTGAAAATTAAAGGAAGATATGACATTCAGAAGGTATTGATAAGTTAATAGGTTATAAAGGCTCTCTTGAGTATATATATGGAAACCTCCCAATGTAACTGAACCTACCAAGATATTGTGTAAATTTATACCTTATAAGGGTTTAACACAACAGCGATTCTTCATCAAGTCAAGACCAATCTTTGTTAACATGTATACATACATTTCTTGTAGAATGGTTTCATGCCTCCACCCTGTTATGTGTGGGTGGTTGGGTAATAGTGTTGACCCACATCCGTCCTGTCCTGTCATCATTCATTGTCATGACAACTAACCCTTTCACCCCTAGGTAACTTTAGTACTCTACTATACATTCATCTGGACGAGTCCATTAAAGTCTACAGTGGTGAAAGGGTTAATTAACCGAATTCATTTCTATTTTAAACAAATTTTAAGGAAAGTTTTTACATAGTTCAAGATCTTAAGTTCATATTTCAGAGCCCCCAGTTATACAACACCCAGGTCACGATCACTGTAGATATTAATAGATTGATCACATGGCTAAGGAGGCATTCATGTCTGACAGATATTTTCGCAGTTTCTAAATACATCAGAAAGTTTATGTAGCTGTGAGAAAGTCTTAACTTTGCCACGAACAAACATCTATAAATGTTATTCTTAGTTTTACACATTGGTAAAGTCAAAAATTCAAGTTGATATGGGTATAGCCAAGGTCATCTTGCTTAGTCTTCTTCTTGCCCAAAGAAAAATGGACTGATGCTACACCTAACCAGTCAATGTAGAATAACCTCTTATTACTGCATCACATAATAATTCATGTGTTTTATTAGCTCACCTGGCACGAAGTGCCATGTGAGCTTATGCTGTGGCGCGGCGTCTGCCATCCGTCCGTCCGGCGTCAATATTTTACTTTAAACGACTTTTTCTTAATAACCGAAAGGCCTAGGGTGATGATATTTAGCCAGAAGCAAACTGGGATGAAGGGCTACAAAGTTTGTTAAAATTAATGACCTTCACCCATTTTCAAGGTCACTGGGGTCAAATATGTTAAAAAACTTTAAACATCTTCTTCTCGATAACCAAACTGCCCAGGGAGATGATATTTGGCCAGTAGCATGCTTGGGGGAAGGGCTACCAAGTTTGTTCAAATGAATGACTTTCAA